AAAATTAGGCATAAGATGTTTTATAAATTGTTTACCTTTATTTGTGAAATTTGGGGGCAAAAACGTGGGGATCACCTTTTAGAAAGTAATCAGGGAAAAATATTATTTCTGGTAGACCATTATCTCCTTTACTGTCTGGTAAGATATTCACAAAGTTCGACTGGTCTAGAGTGGAAAATTATTTGTATTGTAGGAAAGGTGTATTTACATTACTTTCCTTTAACCCTCTAATTATATTTAGGTCTATTTCCCCTGACATCAGTTCCTATAATGTTATGATGCAATCCAATATATTTTTGAGTTTACAAATACTTAACATAAGAGTAAAAATTATATGAATAAGAACCGTTTTTCAAATTCAAGTCTCTTCTAATATATATTTGAAATAACAGATGCACACAAGTTCTGAACATAACACATACAATTATATCAAAAACCACTTATTCAATTATAGTTGAAATTCCTATGTATTTTGACAATGGATTAAAAATTATCCTAAAGTCTGAAAACAAGCAATTTCATTTTGGGATGTACCTATGAAGTGTCATGTTGCACTGTCAAAAAATGATTTTACTTTTAATGTGCTCAACGAAAATTGGGGAGAAGAGCAGGGGTCTGAATTGAGTTACAGCTTTCAAATAAAGTCTGCCTTTGTAAAGGATTCCCATCATACTAGTTCTTGGATCACAGATAGTAGGAAGAAAGTACTTTATACGTTATTGGGTTTGTTTAAGATATTAGTAAGAGTGTCCTTATCTAAGAAGCATGAAACAAAAAAAAAAGTTTGCAGTTGATAATACTGTAATTTTTCTTCAGTGGTGAACCATCGTATCTGAATAAGATTTTTCCTCATAATTTATAATAGACTACTGTGTCAAATAAGAATACTTCTACTATGTAGTAATGAGTATGAAATACTAGCAAAAAGTTGTATGTTTAATATAAAATTCTGCATAATTAAAAAAAAATCCTAAAACCATTCATATAAGCAAACATTAGTTTGTGGTAACAGTATGCACAACTTCTTGATATTTACTGCACATTAACACTCCTTCTCAACTAAAGATGTAATGTGACTTCTGATATTCACTGCACTTTAAGGTTGATTGTCATGTGGAAAAAAAAAAAAAGAGTATTCCTTTTGTTGTGTCACTCGCAATATTCATTGCACAATAAGGGCAACCCATAAGGTGCAATGTTACATGGAAGTGATATTATTGTTATTTATTGCACAAAAAAAGTATTTCTTTTATTGTGTGTCTAGTAATATTTATTGGACACTGTTCTTGCTCTTCAAATACTCTTCTTCGATTTGTGTTTACATTGAAATTGAAAAGGTGTCAGATTATATCAATAAATAAATTAGTATCACTAGTCCTAAAATATCTTATATTTGTACAAAAATAAATTTAAATAAAATTACAGCCTTAACAAAAAAAAAGTGGAACAAATCAGACCATGGTTATAAGCTCCCCCTTAAATCCATGTCACTGAAAAAAAAACATAAAAATAGCAACACTATCATAAATAAGTATATAATGAGCAACTTAACCAAACTTGTATCTTAACTAGGATGATTTGAAAAATAAAAATCATTATATGTGAATGGCATTCTTTGTTGTCCATTATTTTACCTTTTTTTTCTGAACCTACATTAATAAATCACTTGGTTTTGTACTTCAAGACCATACAGTAATATCTGTCTTCAAAAACAAAAAGTATAAGCTCATTTATCTACTAAATAAATTCAGGCTGCAGATTTGAAGAGATATTTTTCTTCATGACATAAAATATTCTGAAATATCCTATACAGTTTTGTTTGTAAATAGTATTACATCATAGACAAATCTATAGCTACATTAAAAATATGGATTAAAACTTCCTCAATGACAAAAGTCGTAAAGAAATAAAGCTGGCAAAGTATGTTAGCTTTTAAGACTTATCAAGTTTAAAATAATATGTCTGCTAGTATATTTTATGACTTCCTACTTCTTAAATGCTTGTTTTTTCTTTAAGTAGATATAAACTTTCAAATTCGAAATGACCAGTTATGCGTGATACCTTTAAAGATAAAGAAAAAATTTTACTAGATTCTTCATCGATTGATCTCTTTTTACTTACTACACGTAAGTAGAAACTGAGCTCACAACACTAATTAGTTACCAATGGAAGTGTGAATCGGGATGTTTTTTTATAGGTATGATGAAAAGTGCAAGTTAACAAAAACATCTTAAAAAACACTATTGAATAACTAAACAATTCTTCCTTACTTTATATGCGATGCACTCCATTATTAGATACAAAAAATGGTTGTAATTCCAGCTTAAATAAGAGGTAAAATGTGTGAACTTTCTCTTGACTTTTTGATCATCTATTTAAAAAAAATTATCAAAATAATACTTTTGTCAACAACAGTTCCTAGATCATATAAATATGCAATGGCTTGTTTTGAATTTCGTGCAAAGCTACATGAGGGTTATCTGAACTAGTTGTCCCTAATTTAGCAGTGAAAGACTAGAGGGAAGGCAACTAGTCATCACCACCCACCACTAACTCTTTTATTAACTAATAGTGGGATTGATTGTCACATTATAATATCCTCACAGATAAAAGGGTGAGCATGTTTGATGGGACAGAGATTTGAACCCACGACCTCCAGATTGCAAATCAAGCACCATAACCACCTGGCCATGCTGGGCCAAATGTGCAATGAATCATAGGGTTAGTAGTTTTCAATTTACTCTTGTCAAAATTCTTAAAAGAGTACTAAAGAAACACCTTTTTGTTTCTCTGTTGATAAATTTGTTTCAAGTTAAATTAGTAAAAATTTTAACAATTACAGTACCAACATTAATTTTTAACTAAACAGTCACTCATAAAAATTCTTCACAACAATAAACTTTACAAAAGATGAATGTTTCAAATTAAGTAGGTCATGAGATTCAAAAATAAATTTATCTCTGTTCTTTGTTCCAGGTTAAGCACCTTAAGGTTTCAGGTTATTAATTACTTGAATTACTGTTAATAAGATAATTTTTTGTCATTGATCATTTATCTTACTTTGCAAATTATCATTAAAAGCTCTGTAGGTAAAGATACAAATTTCTTCTGTCCTATGCTTTCTTTGTAAAATTTCTCCCAAAGCTACACGAGGGCTATCTATACTATCCTTAATTTTGAAGTGATAGATGATTAGAGAGAAGGCAGTTAGTCAACACCACCTATTGCCAAATCCTGTGAGACCAATAATGGGATTTGATAGTCATTATTATAACTCACTAAAAGCCCTAAAATGCAGAGCACAATTTTGTTTTGTAAGTGGATGCAAGCCAAGAAATCCAGTGAGGAAAATGATAAGTAGTTGAATATTGTATATAGTTTTGTAAACCTATTTTCAAACTTGAGCCTGACGACACTAAAATATCTCTAAGAACTTATAAATTTTGGCAGCAATATATACACACACACAGTGTTTAACAAAAATAATTTTTTAATCTAGTTTTCTTGTATTTCTGTGTAGTGGACAAGCTTATTATTTTATCCAGAATATCGCAAGTTTTTACTTTGGCTCAATTTGCAATACACAGAAGCACTGAGAGGTAGAGTAAATAAGTTCTGAGACTTGCATATACAAAAACGTGGTTTCAGTTGTTTTTTTTTAAAGTCTGTTGTTTATTATCTGTACTTTCCATATCACTTAATGTTTACCTTACTAACTTACATATTGTTCACTATATGACACTACTGGAACTGAATTATGAATAATTGTAGTTTTGTTTTTCACTAAATGATCAAACTTTCTACAAAATGTATGACTAATTTATAAACTTGTCATATAAAGTTTAAGATCTAATCATTTTCTAAGAGTATTATTTGGACACCCCCTTATGGCATATCTTATTTGTTGCCTGTTTTAGATATGGAAGATTTAAACAAGGTTTCTGCAAATCAACATGAGACATCTATACATGTCAAACAGTATCTAGTATTAAAAGGGCATTGTTCAAAACATCTGCATTTAGAAAAGTTTTAAATAAATTTTCTATAGTGATTTTTGTTTGTTTGATTGAAGTTAAGCACAAAGCTACACAATGGGCTATCTGTGATCTACCCACCACGGGTATCGAAACCCAGTTTCTAGCACTGTAAGTCCACAGACATGTTGCTGTGCCACTGAGGGGCTTCTACAGTGATAAAATATACACAAGTTTATTTGTTTTGCTGAATTTCACACAAAGCTACCCAAAGTCTATCTGCACTAGACATCCCCAATTTTGGAGTAAGATTAGAGAGAGGACAGTCCGTGAACAACACCAATTAGCAACTCTCTGTCAACAAAGCATGGGATTATAATGCCTCTGAAGCTGAAGTACAAACATGTTCAGTGACAGCATTTGATCCTGTGGCCCAATTGCCTTAACCACCAGGCCATGCTAGACCCTCGTATATATGAATGTAGTAAAAACAGAAATTAAAACAATGATAGAAGTTACTTTTCTTATAGGTAATTTTGTGTAATACTGTTAATAATGAAATATCTTGAAAACGAAATGCTTATAATATGTGACATTCTGCTGATTATAATAATTGCTACTATTTTTGTTCATAGTCAAAGTAAAAAATATTTTCTTACCAATTGTTAGTATTAAATTGCACTCTGACATATGGTTGCTTTCCAAATATGGTTGAAAGTTACAGATCATATTTTCTTAATGATTACAATCCATAATGCATCTTCAGAAATACAAATGCAGTCAAGCTTTGATAAAGCCTGGAATGACCCTTTCAGGCCCCGTTTTCTTCACATTTTTTCTTATACTCTTACCAATAACTGTTATAAATACAATACTCTATAAAATCAGGAATAATGCATGTTAATATCAATACTTTTCTTTCTTTTTTTAGTAATAAGGATGAATGAGAAGCAAGCAGGGTAGAAAGGGTCTACACCAGCAGCAGACACAGAGAAATTAAAAAAAAAGAAGAAACAAGACTCCAACTGGAGATTTTCCAAACTTGGTAGCTTTATTACAACATGAGGAACATTACCTCTCAATACAAAAAATGAACTGAATGTGTATAAATGAGAAGCCATGGGAGAATGTAAAAATAATCAAAATCTTCAGAATCATAAAATACAATGATGTGGCCCAAACTGGTCACGAGACCCTTTCTTGTCTGCTTGGCTCACTCAACCCGGGAGTAAGCAATGGATTGTTTTCAATCTCCAGGATAACAAGTCATTGCTAAATTAACCAACAACGACATGAAAAATTTCTGATGGAACAAGTACCATCAATGTGATACTAAATGGTAAGTTAGTCGAATTGATTTCATCAACATTGGACATGATCAAGCTTTGCTAGTTCGAGTACAGATGGCACACAAACCCAACAGCAGCTCTTAACAACAAGCACAATGATGGTACTCAAATACTAGGCTTAGAATATGGTTAGTGAGCCACACAGATTGTTCATAATAAGACATTTCAAGATCTTGAAAATGTATTTGTTAATGACAATAATTTGTCATAGCCTTGATAACACAGGAAATTTTTTAAGGTTACATAAAACAACCTTACCCTGTTTTTTAAGGGAAAAAACATTAGCTTCTGTGTCTTTTAAAACCTTTTACAATATAAGAGTTTAGGCAAAAATTAATTCAAGAGTTACTTTTACAGATAAGTATTTCCAGATACCTTCAATTACCAATCTACAATGTGGGATTAAAGATTTTGTAACGAATAATCCTGTAGTATTTCTCGTATTACAATCGTTTTTTTTTAAACAATTCTCATGCCTATACTGATGTTTTCAGTAAGGTTACATTATCAGTTCCAGGTAACTTTAAATGAAGAATTGGTTACAGTTGTACGTCAAACAAAATTAGATGAAATGATTAGCTTTTCATCAACTTGTATATTGAATAATACTCCAAAAATTACTAACACACACATTTATGCATGCTGTTCAAAAGGAAAATATTCATACAGAAGTCTTATCTCATGTAATAAAATAACTTCTAACTGTTTTATAACAGATGACTTGTGATTTCATATTTAAGACTTTGGATTTGCTGCAGAACATTAATAGAATACATTAATATGCATAATGCCATTTCATTAAATTGGTAACTCAATAGGTAATTCAATAAACTTCTGTTAAAACATTCAATGTCAAAGAATATTTTTGATATAGAAACTGGTATTAATAAGCTGTGATCTCAAACTCTATGCATTTATTGAAAAAAGATGGTATTTGTCATACAAGTCCCAAGTGTCTCAAATATCAAGCATAAGGATCTTCAGTTTTAAGTAAACTGTTATCTACACACATTTGTGTAAACAATGCAATCAGTATAGGTTTTATTATATTTTGTGACTTTTATATTTTTTTTAGCAACAATAATTATAGTGTTGCACATCCTTTGAAAAGGCATCCACCCTCCATATGTTTGGATTTAAGCCATCTGTCCACACAAAATAGTTGCCCAACACAATTCTGTATACTATACATTCTTAATTTTTCTGAAAGAAATCCCAAAAAACTTTTTGGTCAGGTCCTTCAATCACACATTATTTATATCAGTAGGAAAACTGAGACTTCTCCAAAAACTAAGTTCTCAGTGAATAACTATTTGCAAAGCTTTAAGAGCATGGAACTCTCTGGTTCATTCCAGTGAGATGTTCTTTCCCAGGCTTTGTCTAGACATAGTCACTGCACATACTTACGATAAAATACAGGAAATTAACAAAGATGCAGCTCAGTTAACTGGTTCTTATCCATTACCATGATCATCATGAGAACCATGTGCTGCTCACCAGAGGGAAATAACTAAATAAAATAAGTAAGATTCATTTCAAAAATTAAAAAGGGAATTGAATATTCTATAAACCTAAGTTACTCCCTTTTTCTCAGATTTTTAGGATTACTGTACTTTACAACAAGACCACAAATTAAATGTTAATTAAATTGAGCCCAATACTTTGTGGGAAAACAAATACTGGATACAACCATCAAGAAGTTCAACCTTTTAATTAAATTAACTAAGTTAGAGAAGTTCATAAAACCTCAAGATATACTACTTAATTCCTTTACTAACAGCAAAAAATTTGGTATGCAACACCTACTGAACAAGAAGAAGAAACAGGATTAACCAAACAAAAAAATCTGTTGGATTTCAATAATCGAGATATAACAGCAGAAATAATCTAGACTGCTGAATGTTATAATTTTGTTTTCTTTGTTGAAGTTGTCAATGCCAGGTCAAAGTTTTTGGTCAATCAAATAGTCACTTTAGGATAATTTTTATTTTCTAATTGTGTTTCCTCTGTTTCCTCCCCTTGCTCCTCCTCTATAGCCACTTGCAGGTCCCCCCCTTTGGGAATTGTGATTTGTGGTTGTGCCACTTCTCTTGTCATTAGGGATGTAGTCAATGAGAGTTGCAGGATGAGTACCAGTACTATTGTTGTAGCGAGAATCTCCTGCCCATTTGCGACCAGGCCCCTGTCCTGATCCTCCACCTCTTCCACGACCTCTTGGTGGTCCTCCTCCTCTTCCTCTACCAACATCCATGTCAGAATTGTATCCCTTGTCAGGCCCACCACGTCGTGGTAATGGAAAATTCAAAATGCTGCCCATCTGAGACCTAAGTTGCTGGTCAATTTCTTGTTTTTCTTGACGTAGTTTTTCAACCTCCTATATATCAAAAACAGATAGCTTAAATGGGATTTTTTTTAAGCGTATCATTCTTTTTGCACAAGAAATATAAAAAAACATAATCACTGGTGTAACCAAATTCCATTTTAAGAATTGTTCATGTTATTTGATTGACTAATTATACTGTTAAGAGAGCACATTAATTCATTTCCCTCAACATTAGCAAACTCTTGCTTTAGACATGTTGATTATCAAATTTAAATACCAAAAATGTCACTGTGCAAATTTTTCAGTAATCAGTACACATTTATATAACACTTGCTGAGGAAAGGAAGAAAACGTTATTATACCAATAATTGGCCTGACAGTTTTCTCAAAGACAAGTGTCATAGCAAAATAATTAAATTTAAAATAGGTCTGACAAGATAAAAATATACTTGACTAGATCTTCTTTTCATTTGCATTTCCAGTACTGAATACTTGAAAATCATTACAAACTAGCCAACATTAGTCAAAGCCGATGAAATTTGTGTTTTTATATATACTTAAACTTTTAGAGATAAATCTCCTTTAAAAACTATGGTAGTAGTTTATTTACTTGGTGATGTTTGAAGCAAACACTCTTTTTCAAGCCTGTCACTTAGCAACAATTACAGGAAAATTTTGAAAAAAAGTTCCTGTAATTGTCATTAACTGACAGTCTTGTTTCTAGCTTGAAAAAGAGCATTTGCTCGTAACTTTACCAAGAAAATAAATTACTACCTTAATTTTTCTCTAAAAGTTTAATTTATATATATTAAAGTTGCTATTATTGCTCCATAAAAAGCTATTTACTACTTGAACAAATGTCTGGTGTAAAACAATTATATGACACTGACACTTTCAATGAGTGACATAACCTCTTCACACCCACATCACCAAGTCAATTACTTGAGTAGCATAAAACTGTTAATTTTCCCTACAAGTCAACTTTTTATAAAAAATCTTCAAACACAAACTTCTTTAATAACAATGTGGCATATACCTTAGTCATGAACATACTGAACTCAATTAAACCATACATTATATTCTTACATATTGATAACTATATACTACTGCATTTATCTAAAAACAATTTGAACACTGTTGCTGTATTCATTTGTTTTCATGATGGTCAGAGATTATTCAGTGAAACAAGCTAACTAACAGTGGATTAATTTGTCCTTGATTTTTTAATACAAAACATTGATGCTTTAAACTATGAAAATAACAACCTAAAGTTATTACAACCTTTTTTGTCATCAAGGTCAAATGATTGCTTAAAACTAACTATAATGGTATTTGTTTTTGATTACTTCATACCCATGACATCTTTGAGTTAACAAAAGCCTTGAGTCATGAATACAAGTTAGAAAAAGCTTTGATATTAGTTAGTGTGATCACACCCACTTGTGATGAAAGGAGATTTGTTCACAAACATCAGTGTGTTCTTTTCTATGTTATCTTATATGGATGCATTTCATCAAAAATTTAGTACTCATGTTATCACTGGTTAAAATATCTTTTTTTTTATTCATTTGTTTATTTACATGAATATCTATGTTGTACACACATAGACACACATCAAAAACCTTAGTTGACATTTTACAGGTAATGAGGTGCAAGAAGTAACACATTTGAGCTTGCCAGAACCCTTTATGTTGTTTGCTTTTGTTTGCAAATATATATTGTTCTGTCACTTGTTTCATCAAATAATAATAATTACATACATATACTTGAATGGTTGGCATTTTTTTCTCTCTTTAATCCCAGTTACATCATATAAGTTAACATACTTGTTACTCATTCTTTTTATTACTTTTGTTTATATCTTCCTTAAAAACATTATACTTCCCCATTTTGGAATGAAGATGAAATTCACAAAAATTTCTCAAGATATTAATGTGCTAAAAAGATTTAATAAAAATTTATTAAATATGGTAAAGTGCTGAAGCATAAAAAATAAATGCAAGAAAAATTGAGAAAGTGATGGTCCAAAACATGGATGCCCAACTTCACGTTCATGGGCCAATTTCTCACGTGGTTTGTATTCTAGGGACCAAAACTATATTACCAGGTAAAGTACATTCAGAATACTTAATTTAAATTTGAATTCCTACTGTCTACTACAGACCCTCAGTTAATTATATGATTTTGAATAAATAGCTGAGTTAACATTTGAAGAACATTGTCAGAACCATCATAGGTCTGGTTTGCTTGGCCACAGTTTTGCTTTCCATTTTATTTATTTGGCCAAGATAAAATATGATAAAATAAACAAAAAACAGACTTGATAAAATAGATCCAGCCCACTAATTAGCCATCTGTAGTCTATAGTTTCAAATTGACCAACACAGAGAAACTACAAATTTATAATAGGGGCTATTACTTTATGATAATTTTCAAGTTTACACCCTACAGTTTGTTTTGTTTTCCTAATTGCTTTTACTTCGGTAAACTTAGAGCCTGAAACACACACATCAAGCTTTCTATACACCATGACATAATGTAGTGCTGAGTTTTACAAAAGAATAATTGTTTTCATACAAAAATTATAATTTGGTAGTTAATGATAAAAGAAGTACTCCACACAGATACACACATAAGGAATGATACAACTTACCCTCAAATGGGCTAAGTGATATTCTAGAAGAATTTTAGCATTTGTAATGCTCTCAACAGTTCCTACAAAAACAAATGGAACCTAAAAAGAAAAGCAGATTGAAGACTTTTAAAACTGTTTAAAAAAAGTAAATGTAGGAATTTAGTTTAACTTTTCATGCTAAACAATCTTTATTTCCATATTTAAAATGCAAAGAAAATGTGGAACCAAAAACCTGCATATTTTCCTTTCCAGCCAGCACCATAAACCATTACCACTTAATATTATGATATTTAAATCACAATATGTACGTAAAACATGTACGGATTACATAACCTCAAAGTTTATTTTGTAAAATTACTAAAAGGGAAACTGATGATTCTTGTATTGACAAAAGGTATTTGGTGAGACTTTGCTCTTGTAGGCCCATAAGAATCATTAATTACTGTAAAACAGTTAAGACAAAAATCAGAAAATTTCATGGAAATCAAGCATTCACGTGTTGCTCAGAGCAATAGGCAATTTTTTTCAATTAGTTTCCTTTAATATACATTTTAACCTATTTATTTAATTATATTTTTCATCTACAAAACATTTTTTTTGTATTCTATAATATTTTATATTTTGTATCCATTTTTATTAGTTGTAAAAAAAAGAATTAGTTTCATTCAACAATAAGCTTATACTCTCAAGCTGTTGCAATTCTAATATTAAACCACCCCTGCAAATCCTGTGAATGCCTCTTAAGAAAAGTGAAGAATTTAGTGACTTTATGATGTTCTTCCCAAGAGATATCAAATATGGGCCTATCCAACCAAAATGAGACTCTCATACCAAGTCTAATTTCCATAGTAAGAAGAGATATTCTTAACCTCAATGGTTTAATTCAGGTCCTTGGCTGAAGTATAACAAAACCAAAGATACTGCCAGGATTTGTTGCAAACTCCATTATGATGGGACATTTCAATAAGGTGGCTACAGATAGTAGTCCAAAGCATTAGAAGCTAAAATTAGCTTCGACAAGCATGTCAACAGTCACCAACTTGCTGAATGTATGGAACCTTGAAGTAATTTTAATAAAAGTGTCCTTGTTCATACAATTTTCAGTAATTAACAGAAGAATTTTTGCTAAGAATGAAGAAGAAAAGATAGTAGAGACAATTTTTAAATGAAACGAAGTTCTAATCCAACAGATTTCTTCTCAAAGTTGAGCTTATTGCTTGCTGGAATCCAGATACAGTTGAAAATGTATAAAAAAAAAAAGCCTGTAAATTACAATATGCTCTTTCAATTGCATTTAAACATGTCCATGAGTGAATAACTGGTTGGAAAGGCATGAAAAGATGGAAAGTGCTTCTCTGATTGGTATAAAGAAACAATTACTGGTATCTCAACAAATGAATAGGATATGGAAAGTTCAAATTTTATATTCTTTCTTGTCAATAGTGTAGTTTATGTTTCTAATTGGTTAGGAACTGTAGAAGCTGTTATGTTGAAGTTACACAATGTAAATGGAAGAAAAATCAGTGTGCAATAATGGGGGTGGAGGGGTTGTGAACCCTTCATTAACATGCCCCTTGTTCAAAACTATCATCCCAAAAGTTCGGTTGAGATTGGCCCAGCAACCTAGGAGTAGTTAAACAGACAGACAGACAGGCAACAGATATTTGTGCATTATATATATAGATTTTTTAGTCATATGATGGTAAGGTTGGTCAAATAGATCAAGCCCATATAGTGTTAGAATGGAGAAAATAACATTTAAAAATACAAAGTTTACTGAAACAAATTTTTTTGATATTTTTTGTTAAACTATGGGCATGATGGTGAGTAAAATAAAGTATGTGGCCTAGCGAAGTACCGTATAAATATTTGTTGTAAAATTCTTATCAATGCTACAAGTGTAGCTATCAGTTTGGCCACCGATTTTAATTCCATTCCTTTAAGTCGCACACTCAATCCTTTTTTTGGCTGCACCTTTTTTCACATCTAAGGTGTTTTTGATTAGATATCACGACTTTTTGTCAATGTACACCAACAAACCACACCAAATAAGAAAGTGACACTCAACAGTAACCAACATTAGCTTTAGGATCACAACCTTATTATTCGAAACAGTCTTTTTAATTTACAGATCCAATTAGATTCTTCAAAAAATATAGTGGTAGTTTTTCCTCTCTAAAACAGTGTTAATAGCTTCCTTTATACTAACGCCATGGAATTTATATTAACAGTTTCTTGTCATTACCCCCATGTGATCAGTACAGCCATATAAAGTATCAATATTTAATGCTAATTTCTTAACTCTCTCTATACTGGCTGTGTCAAATTGACCAACCACATTACCACTTTATACTCATTTAAAGTCGCTAGTTTTGACACTACTAACTTTTAATATAGAAAGTATGTCTTTACAAAATTTGCCAGAATTTCAGTAAACATTACAAGTCTTTCACATATAAAAAAATCAGATTTTTTACTGAAGTATTTTTCCTAAACAATTGACAATTCTCTTTCCAGAGAACAACATAATATAATATGCCATTTGCTAGATGAAAACCTTGGCTTTTTATTGGTCATAACTAATATAGTATTAAGTGTAAGAGAAATATTAACAAATCCTGAAAGTTGATGTGACAGGTGGGTGTGGCAAGAGGGGTCTGATTTTTCTATTTGATGACTCTGTAACCAAACAAGATCGAAGGCTATAAAAATTATGGTTTGTCTGAGTGATGACGATTTTATTGTGAGTAATTAACAATAATTTTCATACTTATTGGAGAGGTGGTGAATAAAATAAAGAGGGGATGCCTAGAGAAAAAATGTCACATTTCTCACACTAGAGAAAATGCAAGATTTATTTTTATGTTGCCTTATAAAACTAAGAACTAAAAACTTGTATACTACTAAAACATAGATTATTAGCTACGATATTATGCTATACTAATTGGTATAACAAGCAAAAAGTAGTTTAAGTTTTGAATGTAAGTCACTAAAATCCTCAAGACATGCACAATAAAGGATGTCTTTAGCTAATTTCATGCAATGCTAAATGCTCTTTAATTAGGATAATTTCATAAAAGTTAGTAAATCTGTGTTGAAAGGTTGGCATTGAATAATCAATAATAACCATCCACCCATATGATTCTTTTGAAAACCTGAGCTAGAAACTACTAATCTAGTTTGCTTGGTCTAACCAACACTTTTGCTGCTCTAAATCAGCCATCTTTAATCCGAATGACAAAAACTAAAAACTGTCCACTTTATTCTTAGGTCAAACTATAGTAAAACGTTAGACCAATAGCTCACAACTTTTTTGCATAGGTATGCACAAAAATTTTGGTTAAATATGAACGTTTTTTGCATCAGTGTACCAAATTTGAAAAAAAAATACATAATAGTATGTTTTTCTATCACATAGTTTTCATACTTTTGATGTGAAAAAAAAAAAAAAGTGGTAGAAATTTAACCAAAATTGTAGATGTTATATCTCATGTATTTCTTAATGGATTGCTTTGCAATTTGGTATGTAAAGTAAGAATCTAGTAGAGCACATCCACTATCACTAAACTATCACTCCTATCACACTGTGTCCTGCAGGTTGTTTTTTTTTTGGCCACAAGACACACTACCTAGTGTTTGGATAAACTTTTTTTTTTTCATTAAAACCTTATATTTTATCTGTTATTTTCTCTACCCTAACTCTACATGGACTCCATCAACTTGACCAACCTTATAATCAACACAAGAAAATACAAAACAAATCTAAATTAAAATTTTTTTCATTCTGGAATGAATGCAGACTCAACTAAAAACTACAGCTGTTTATCTTAAACAGCTTATTTCTACTTAATTTTATTCTCTTATTGCCCTTTGAACCATGTCTAACTAATAACCCTGCCACTCAGTGAATATACAGCTCACATTACTGTATTGAATGACATAACACACAAGCTGATCATGAGCATACCTCATGAAGAATTTTTATTAGTATTATTTTTACCTTACCTAATCTAGCAAATTTCTAATTATTACATTTTAGTTACATTTATAACAATAAATAAAAATGTTAATGAAAAAATAAATATTGTACTTACCCTTGATTTTTTTTTTTGCTGTTAGATGCCAATGAAATTTAAGCCTACATTTTTTATAATGATGGTACAAGTATACTAAATGATTTTTGTTTACTTAATTATTAGATATTTGTGAAAGAGAGAATGTGAAAGGTGGGTATGTCAAGTGGGTCTGACTATCTAGTTTATGTCTCTGTAATCAAAGGAGATTTAAGGCCATAAAAACTTGAGATTTTGTTTTAGTAATATCTAAATTACAAAGAGTAATTTATGTTAAATTCTGTCCTTCAGAAAGGTAGTAAGTAATTTAGAAAAAGGGGAAGATCGAGAGAACAAATGTCACAATTCTCATACTAGGGAAGACTGAGAATTTATTTAAACATTTGCTTATAAAATTAAGAAATTAAAACTTATATAATATTAAAATTTGATTTATTATCTATATGATGATGCCAAGTTTATTTGTATACATTGATAATAAAGTAGTTTAACTAAATTTTGAATGTAATTCTGTATAAGGTCATGACATGTGCACACTAACTTACCCATAGTGAGAGGATTAACTCTTTCACCACGAGCTCAGTCACTGGGACCGACCTCGTAACTATTTTGCACTTGTTATAGTTTTTATGTTATAGCTTTTAAATTAGTAAGTGTGTGTTAACAAAGTTTGGCAGATTATCAGTCAACATTACAATGCTTTCATAGACAAAATATCAAATTTTTGTTATAAAGTTAAGGTTTGTTAAGCAATTTTTTTCTCGTGTCTTTTTTCTTTTCAAATGTTGACAATCCAACATGCATAGTAATTTTCATTTTAAGATTAAAAATACTTTTCACCATCAGAAAATTTTCAAATTACACATGCGAAGTCTTTATAATGTACAGATAATTATCAAACTTTTCTTAAGAAAAAAAAACTTTATATTTTATCTGTTATTTCACTAACGAATCTCTGCATGTGTTTCATAGAATTGACTGATCTTGTAACCACCATAAAAAATTAGGAAATAAATATAAAGTATACTTCTTTCATTCTAGAATGACAACAAATTATAACACAAAAACATAAATGTTTAGACTAAATAACTTCAATCTCATAACATTATACATTGATATATATTTATTATATTGACTTTTTATCCATGCCTGGCTAACAATACAGAAGTTACAATGATGTGGCACACGTGCTTTCATGTTACCATATCCAATAATAAAAACTAATCTTCAGTCTTTACAAAGCGACTTCTCTTGGCTGTGTTTTAGTAGATTAGTATTTTGTAAAATACAGTCACAGTTCCATTATTATACATTATATATGTATATATAGATTATTACTATTTAAAAATAAGTTCTTAAACTTATTTTTCTTAAAATATAAAACAGTAAATAAAGAAGTAAAACAAACAATTATCTCTTCTAGTTATAACCTTTATACTCGGTTTCTGGTTGACATAGGTTGCTAAGCCTTTTAAAATTTTGCACGTGGAGAATATGAAATGAAGTAATTTTTTTTTGAGGTTTTATATATACAGTTGAATAACCAAAAAATCATAAATTACTATACTGATTCCACTATAATTTATCAAGCTTAGTAATTAAGCAGTATTTGGGTCTAAAAAAATATGAAATTTTGAGCAGACTACAGACACAAGCTACCTCCTTGAAATCTTGATTCGAAAGAACAATATAACGTCCTAACACATCAAAATGGTTGAGAAAGCCACTAGAGGGACATTCTGAGCTTTCAATTGGTTATTCACATCTCATATATTGAAGTAAGTGTATATAAGGGACCGTTTCCAAAAATTGAAAGAGGTGAGCAGGGCCATTGTGTTTGATTCAGGATGAGAGATATCTCAGCAAATAGAAAAGATATGAAGTTCTTATTTTATATTCTAGCTTGTTAATATCGGTAATTTGAGTTCCTAATTTGTACAAAACTATAGACTTAGTATTTTGACATTACAAACATCTAATCGGAACCAGTGCTGCATTCAACATACCATGTAACACATAAAAATCAATGTTTAACTGTGTTTTTTTAATAGTTACTTTTAAATTAAAAAATAAATAATGTATAATACTAAAATGTATTCATGAAATAGTAGTTCAATAAAACTTTGAATTCGAGTCAACAAATGTGATGACATGGCCTTTGACCTGTGACCTGTTTGAAGAGGGTTAACTGATTTAATTTTAATTTCAATTAACTGAGTAGTACATGAAGCCCTTAATGATTTAATTGCTGCTCATAGGTAATACGTCACCCAGCTCTAAATTACACACATACACATTTTAAGAGATTATGAAAAGAATCTGCTGGAAAAGATGTTTGTTTTTAATTACACGTCAAAATGTACAATAAGCAATACTTCACCTCTTCCTGAGGAGCCTGATTTTCATTGTCTCCCTCTATCTTCACTCTTACTATTCCCGACTTATCCACTATTTCTTGAATTATACGCCCATTTTTTCCTATCACTTTCCCTGAGAAGTGAAAATTTTCATTTTAATATTATACACAAAGAATTTCTTCAATGTAAATAAAGGTAAACAATTAATAATATAGGTAGAGTCAAGCATTTAATTCAAACATACATGTGTAGGTTTGTTTATAGACCTTCATGCAAAATTATGTGAAGGCAATCTGCTCTAGCAGTCCCTAATTTAAGCGATCGACTAGAAGGAATGTAGCTACTTAACATCACCCACTGCCTTCTTTTGACTGAATAGTAAGATATGACTGTCAATCTAATGATGCAACCATGGACCCAAAATATAAAACACTTTTTCTTTTTGGGGCAGTAAGAAGGAGTAAACCAAGGAGTTCTGATTCACAGTATGGCAAGCTAACCACTCAACTCAAGTCATCCACAGAGATGTAGAAGAACGTGTGATAAATATGCAAAACCTTTTAATAATTACTAAAACTTCTTTAGAGCAGGATGCCAAGTTTGATAAAAGAAAACCAAATTATCAACAAAAAAATTTATGAGAAATATCATAAACTTATATTAAGCTACATCTGATATACAAACTTTAAAAAACGGATGAATCCACAATGAAGTTTAATTGGATAAAAGCCTTTGAAAATGTTTTTTTGTTCATTAGAAATGTCGAAAATAGCTACTTTTACCAAATTGACATGTGTAAACCTACAAAACAATATCTCGAAGTGGGGAGTTTCTACATTTTTGTTCCAAAAATTGGTAAAATTACATGCTATATTTTCTTCCAAAAACTGCTTTAAATGTATCCACAAGTGATCCATAGCAGATAAAGAAGTGATTTATAGCACTATTACATCACTACAATGTAAATGCAAGGTTGGAAGATGCCAAATTGAAGGCTCTGATGTCTGTAAAAGATGTGGTTGTGCCCAGAATGGTAAATCAATTTTGAAGAAGATTAATTGCAAAAGGTGTGGACAAATTGGTGCATTGAAAAGCAATAATCAAAGAAAAGCAGTGAAAGTAGTCAATTACAATGAAACAACATGTGTTCCTAAAAGGAATGGGTCTTGGGATCAAAAAAGAATCAAAACCTTGAAAGATCTTAGGGTTGCATTTGGTCTACAGAATAAATTCCAGACGAATTTTCTAAGCAAACAATGTAGGACAACTTCGATTAGTTACAGCTGTAATGGATCATGTATGTTATCTCGTTTTTCCCACAAATGCTGATCAACTGAAAGAAAACGTACTTCGTAATCAGTCAAAGAAATGTGGGATGCTTGAGAAAACGTCCTGCATGTCATTATGCAGAGACATATGTCATGTTCACAATAACTTACCACATGGATCATTATGAAATGACACAATAATAGCAATGTTATGTACTCATTTGACTATGCAGCTAGTACAATTGCTTTTTACTTAGTTGATGCAAATGATGCAATTAGCATACCCAGCAGGAAGTTATATTCATCAATGAGAAAGAAATACAATGTGTTACAATTCAGTAGTATTGCTCAGGATCGAGCAATTGATAAAAAAATGACTCCAACACAGTAAAGAAAGCTGTCAGGTTATATTTTGAGTGATTTGAATTGTCAACTAATATGTTGAGGCAAGAAGAAAGTCGAAATTATCCTTCAGAAGTTTACCTGTAAACAACTTTCAATGCACATGTTCAATCAATATTCAAAAATATATCAAAATGACAACCAGCTGTGTAGGGCAACATTTTTAAATTTGGTTAATGCCCCGACAATAAATGATACAAAAGCTGCAACTACAGCAGCTATGCAACATCAATGATACTTTTGATTATTTCTCAGACGTTATTAGCAAATTACAATATGATATTTGACACAAACTCAAGAAACAGAAGATTACTATTTCTGTTCTCTTGAAATGTCATTTGGATGCAGCAGAGGAGAATAGTGATGAAACCAACAGTATCATATGAGAGTCTAATTGCATACAATATAGTTTGGACAAGCATTATGCTTCAATGTCAAGAACAGACTGAAATGTGTCATAAGTGTCAAATACCTTTCACTTTCATCGATGAATTGAAAGCCATCACAATAATTTTGAAGATGCAAGGACGACAATTAACTTATCAGGCAGGAATTAACACTGTCTATGTAGGAGTGTCTCGGTTTGTTCATCAAAATGGTATTTTAAATATCACCAGAACTTTACAATACTTAACAGTGTTTCCTTTTATAACAATATCTATATAATTACTGAGTCACAAGTTTTGGGAATGTCTGTAAATATCATAGCAAAAAGTATGAATTTCCTGTTCTTCTTTCTTCTACTTCTTTTCTATTACATAACTCAAAAACCAAAACAATGGTATCAACCAATTTCACTGAGGTGACAGTTTCAAACAGAGTATCCACTTTTATAAGCATTATTAATAACTAGTCGTAATTAAAAAAAATTATAATTCTAGTGTAAACAATGTTCTCATTACCCCCTTGAAGTTAGTTTTCTTATAGAAATTTGGTGTTCCTTTAAAAAGCTTGAGTACAGTACAGGGTGAAACAAGAATTACCAGCCAATAATAGATAAACAATAAATACTACAGTTGGAATCTCATTGTATTTAGAACTTGGTTATAAATACAACGTCCTATGTCAATTGAAACACTGCATTGAAAAAAACAAGTAAAGAAAAATCTTTTCAAAAAAAAAAACAAATGTAGTGATGGCTAATATCAGTGCAGACAAGATAGTAGGGATGGCACTTGCATCATCCCTACATACTTTCTTGCTTGCATTGTTTTTGAAGAATTGATATAAGTCATCTTTATATTTGTTTCCTTTTTAAAAAAGTTTTTCTCTTTACTTGTTCATGGAGCATCGAATATGGGTGTTTAACCAAAGGATTGCAATAAGTGAGAAAAAGCAAGATATTATTACAAACCATAAAACCAATGAGGGATTTGCAAAACTGGATTCCAAATTAAGTTCAATTCATTGTATTACCATAAAAAAAAAAGTGTAGAGCATTTTAGAAAACAAGGTCTTAGTCGATATGGAGCAATGGTGCAGTTAGTACCAAGAACCTGATCTCAAAAGCAACAAATTGCTAGAGGATTTACATATATATATATTATGATCATATATCATCTGGTAATGTCAAACATGACTATTTTGGAATATTGTTGATCTTAGAAGCCCTTAGAAATCAAATTCATATTGATTTTCTACATGTCAAGTGTATTACAATCCAAAGTGACAATGCCAGAGCTTATCAAGCGGCGTATTTAATAGCAGGAATATTGAAACTGAACAAAATGAGTCCTATCAAATTCAAGCAATTCATTCACATTGACACTCAAGATGGAAAAGGAAATACTAACATTCATTTTGCCAAGGCAGTGGTGCATGTGACGTGTTATGTCAGTATAGGAAATAAAGTTTTATCACCAACTCAGCTTGTTGTTGCTAATGGAGATAATGGAGGGCTATCAAATGTGATTCCAGTTTTGCACACCCTTGACAGAAGCAGACAAGCAAGTTCAAAGTAGCGTACTAGACACCAGTCAAAAAAGTGTTCAAACCAAATGCAAGTTGAGCAAATGATATCATTTTCAGCAATGATAGAGCTACAATGTTTGAATATTTGGATTTTGCACCAATTACCAATTTGAAGTTGACTTGGGAAAATGACTCAGCTGTTCTGTCGATGAAATATGTCTCAATGATGATGATAGTGGTATTTCAGAAATTGAATCCCCTGATTGTAATGATGTTGAGGAAGTTGGTGATGTTTAAGATGACATATATAATGTAACTAATTCTGCAGATGAAGCATACGATAATGAGGATTATGTGTAAGATTGCTCAATTGATTAAACACAAGTTGGTACCACAAAAGGAGTATCAATAATTCCAACTGGTTTCATTCAAAAATGGCACATGCACTGGAAACAATTGAAAAGAAGATAAAGAACCAAACCAACAATGAACAATTGCTGAAAATTTTTGCCAAGCCTTTGGACAATGTCATCTGTAGTGTGCACAATAAACAATTTTCAAGTATATAGAAAAAGGATCAATATGTGTGTAAAGGTTAAATTGGTGCAATGTCATTGCATTTTATATCATGGGAGCCAAGAGGTTCAGTGAATGTGATGATGTACAATTTGTTCAATTGTATAATGACAATAAACTTGAAGAGAAGTTTAACTTTGAAACTATTCAGTATGAACTGTCCAAACCAGGATGGGCAGTTCATCCATCTCATGGGAGATGTTATAGAAAGAAGTATATTACAACATATATGGATGACATTGTTCAAATGTTTGTAGATGGTGATTCTGGTTCCTCAAAGAAAATGAGTCCCTCCCAAATGAGAGAAATGTTGCAGATGAAATATTCCGATGCTCTTAATCTTCCATCAGATACTGAATTAAGACAGGCTATACCGTCATTACTTTCTTCTTGGAAATGGTTCTGCATCCCTTGCTGGTCAATGCAGCCAAAGAAGCACCTTGCATGAAATAGTGCTGGAAATCATTTCTTCGATATTGGAGTCTAATCTACTATCAAGCCATCGAAATGCTAGGAGGAAGTGAAACAAAAGTATCAACATTTGCAACAAGAGAATACACGAAAAAAAATTTAGTCACTGATCACCAGATAAAGTCCAAGATATCCAGTATAAAGCAAAAATTGATAAAATCAGGTACCAGTGCATCATGAACATTCTGCAATGCTGATGCAGGAAACACTTCTCATTGATTCTACAATACATTTTAACCCTTTTGTGTCGTTTTTTTGTCTTTGGGAATATCCTGAAATGGTGTGTCACTTTGACCATATTTTGCCTTCTACATCGCACTTTAACCTCCCATAACTTTATGAATAAAAATCCAATTTCAAATCTGAAGTTTGCTCTGGAAGTCTTACAAACAGATGCATTGATTCAACCTATCTTTTATAGAAATGATTGTGATGCATCCCTAGGACATAGAATGCATGTTAAAAATAACAGCAAAAATCAAAACTCCTCTTTATTATACCTGGTGGTAGTACATGTTTTCGTTGATTGAATACATTCCTGAAATTATCCAGATAAACAACTTCCATTTTCTATTAAATTTATATTAACTTTTATGAAAGATATGCCATCTGAACAATAACTTACAAAATCCATTCCTCTTAAAATCAAAATTAACGAGCCCAACTTAACAATTCTCGACTGACAGAATTTATTCTAAAGGCATTCTCTCAATCAATTTGGAAAAATAAATACAGAGAAAGTAGCTAAGTAATGAAGGGTTTCTAAATTTCTTGTTGAATGAATTATTCTAATAAACAAGATACACAAACTTAGATTTTCTAAACATATAACATGATATCCTTAGATAATATGTAGAATAATGAATAGAACAGATATTTGGACAAAACAGCAACCATTTTAATAATGATAACTAAGTGCAATTATAATGTTTTCTTTCTGTAATCAAATTCTACAAACCTTAAAATAAATTTCTACACAATATAAACTACAAGTAAACCTCTTGTCTGCAAACTGTTACTTTCAGTCAAGAATTTACAATACTTTGCCTTAAAGTAGTTAAAATAAAGTTCACTTATACTTGCTTTGACCTAATAAAGTATATACACTTAAATAAAAACATAAAACATTTCTACAAGATAAACCATTTATTTCTTAGTTCGGAATTACATCTAAGAAAAAAAATTGATAGTTAAATGAAACAAAAATCATCTAATGAAAATGATTAGTATAGAATAAAATTTTGGAACCTAAATTTGATCACACTGTATCTACTCACTAAAGTATCAGTTTTCTGATTCCGAAAAAACAATTTTTTAATTTATTTTTCAAATCAGATTTCAAGGGTTTAATAATCCCTCTCCTCAGTATATAATTAATTTCACATTTTATCTGTTCAACAATGCTTGTGAAATGCTTTGTGAAAACATCCTCTATAAATCACTAGATGTCTGTTCCATCAAGTCTGATGTTACTGATTTTTTTTTCCATCCACTTCTTTATTTTCAAAACCACTGATATGTTTTTTTAATTAATAGCACTTTCTGACCCTCTACAACTCTTTCTCAACATAACTGGAAAATATAATGAGGTTACAACTGCATGGCTAGTATATAAAATTAACACGATGACTTCACAAACTATTTTATTAAAATACTTACTTAAAAATTACAAAACTGAAGTTCAACATCAAATCTTCTGTGTTGTTTGATGATGTTCTACTTTACTGAATATGTATATACATCCTTATGCCAATATAGTATAGTTCTGAGAGGCAGTAGAGGTTATGAAATAAAAAATTATGTTTATTATAATTAGCCTTACTGTCATAGATGTACAATCACATGTAGGTCACATTTCAAACTTACCAACTAAGACTCTGGATACTAAAATTGACTCTTCTGAATACTCCAAGATACTTCTAGCTTTTCTCACTGCTTCTTCTGTCTAATATGTTTAGGAAAAAAAAGTATTTAATGTAAATAAAATTGACAGCATACATACAATTCCTATATAATATTTATGTATTTTATTTAATATTATAAATATATATATATATATATATACACACACACACATATTGCAAACATGATTTAACCAAAGAAACTATATGTAACTTTTAATGTAGTAAGTTAATCTTCAAGAAATTTGACAACCTTTTAGTACACATTAGTAAAAATACTTAATTAAAAATACAACATTATTATTATACATTATATGCAAACAAATATATGAACAATTCAGCAAAACTGTAAAACAGCAATGAAAAATTATATCATTTATACTTTTCTATAAATGGTATCATTTTAAAGTGAAAATGTCTAAAGCCATAACACTTAAAACTATTAGGTATATTCTATCAGACAATCAAAAATAAAA